GTTTCACGCCACCCTCCTTCTCGGTTTCGATGCAAGGGCGGGCAAGAAAGGGAGTTGCAGACTTGTGCCTGGCGGGAGACATACGCGGGGGGCCGTTGTCTCCTCTGTTCACATACTTTTTGACTGCCCAATGAAATTCCCGCCTTTCCTTTTCTACCACGGAAAGGTTACTGAACCCTTCGGACTTGGACGGACGGGCTCTCCCTAGTCTAAAGCCACAAATTCTGCACAAGATAGGCCTGGCAATGGACATATAACCGTTCGTGGGGACCCAGTCGTCCCAGCTTATTGGATTCTCCCTCGATCTGCGTCTGCCATCTTCCACTGTTCTGGTGTCCTGCCCACAGACCGTTGGCCTCTCGGGGCCCACAACCTCATCAGACCAGCTTGATCTCCTGCGGCTTCAACATCAATCACTGCATATTCGCCATGGTCGAGGGGAACATTCCCGGCGAGAGCAATGCGCTCATGGTGCAGGTGCCGGCCATTGTCTTCTTCGTACTCACGCCCATCTTCGTGGGCATCCGGTTTTGGTCGAGGATCAAGATGAGATCCGGCCTTGGTTGGGACGACTGGACCATCCTGTTCTCGTTCGTGAGTCTACTCTACAAGAAACTCGGTACCATTTTGTTCGCTGACGCTCCCAAGATCTGCTGCCTGACTGTATCGATATTGATGATGATCTCCTGCGAGTATGGGTTCGGCCAGCACATTAGAAACCTGTCTAAACCTAATAAGGTCATGACTTTGCAGGTATGTAGCCAGGAACACCTCATGCCGCTTGGTTGAAGTGAGGTATCATGTAACATCAGTCTGACTGTTGATAGTTGTTCTACGTTGCACAGATCTTCTACAAGATCACCATCAATCTCACAAAGGCATCGATATTACTCCTATATCTTCGCATATTCGTCCAGCGGTACTTCAGGATTCTTTGCTACACGCTACTCAGCATCATCCTGGCCTACATGGTAGCGACATCGGCCTCTTCGATATGGCAGTGTACCCCTATTCCGAGAGCTTGGGACAAGACTATTCCGGGCACTTGTATCTCGCTTACTATGAACTGGTATGCGAATGCGGGATTCTCTATCGCTACCGATATCCTCATCATGGCATTGCCGCAGCACGTTCTGTGGCAGTCGAAACTCCCTCTCAACCAGAAGAGGCTGCTCATGATTGTCTTTGCTCTGGGCCTTTTCGTCACGATCACGAGCATCTTACGTATGACGACGCTGAACTTTTCCACCACAAGCCCAGACACCACTTGTAAGTAACAAAAAGACTCCATATGACTTCAAACATATGCTTACATATTGACGCAGTCGACATTGCCTCCACGCTCTGGACAGTCGTCGAAGATAACGTCGCCATCATCTGCGCCTGCCTGCCAATGTGCCGTCTACCCTTGACCTACCTCTTCCCGACATACTTCGCGACCAAGAAAGGGTCGTCTGCCGGCAGCTACAACACAGGCTCCGCGCCGCGAACGAACAACAGCAACTTCATCCACGCCGGTACGAGCCGCAACGACTGGCACCCATACCAAGGCCGCGAAGAGAAGAACGGGATTCATCTGACGAGCGTGCATGCCAGACCAAAAGTTGGGGACGATACGAGCGAGGAGTACATCCTACCTACAGCCGCCAACGAAAGGCGTGTGAGGACTCCGAGCGAGGAGGTGGAGGATCGGCGGGCTATCAGGAAGACGACGGCGTTTCACATGACTTATGACGAAGAACGGCCGAGAGTATGATCCTAGGGATATAATGTGACGGAGAGGACAGCTACGAGTAAAAAGTATGATTTCCCGGAAATGTTACTACCTAATCCTCGTTCTGCGAGGTGTAGAAACACCTTAGACCGGAAGTGACTACGCCGAATCTTACGTGACTCACTTTGAAGTGTCCTTACCTCCAACCGCAATGAAAGAAGGGTTATGTGAGAGCTATGATATGTTTAGGCTGCAAGAGAAGCAATAATTCTGTCGCGCCCAATGCAACGGTCGGTTGTAAAGCTGTCATACCGGCTGACATATTGGCCAGTGGTGTTCAAAAGTAAAACGTCCTTATTCTGTCCATACAGCGGGAACTCCGCGATTTCCTGTCCATGGGGATTTCCGCTTAGAGTGAAGCTGGTCATGTATCGCTGCAAGGCAATCGCAGTCTCTGGACTAGACATACCAACCCCGTTATCGGAAAAGGTGTATGCAACATCATCGGCGTGCATGGCTGGGTATACACCAAACTCGTACTGATGAGTCGTGCCGTTCAGCGCTCTCACGAGAGCAAGACCATTGCACCGGAAAAGCAAGTCCTGCATGGTGAGGGAAGTACGAGCGATGTGGTCCGTGTATCCATAGGAGCCATTGAGAATGGGCGGGTACAGCTCCGTTGCCATGTAATCGATCGAGTCAGCGCTGGCTCCGGGAAGGGTGACGGACATCCATTCGCGGTAGCCAGCGTCGTCTGTGATGTCGAAGGAACCGAAGAAGAGACCATCGTTGGTGTTTGAGCCAGCCATGACTTTGACTTTGGTATCGAACTTCCCCTCCGAGATCAAGACTGCAGGCTCGGCCGGGACAAAGGTGCCGTCAACTACCGGGCTGAAAGTGAAGCTTCCCAGGCGGCCTGCAAAGACCTGATCGCTGTTGGCTGCAATCACAGAGGCAGCAGGAAGCTGCCTAGCTTCGGCTAGAGTGCTGACGTTTAAACGCGATAGGAATTCGGCAAAGATATCGTCCTGGTTCTGGGCTGGCGGAGATGGGAGGATCGCTGGGGACTGCGGGATAATCTGTTGGAAGGGAACGGAGCCCTGGGAGCCGCCGAAAGCCTCCGGGATTTCCGTATTAGCCTCTTTCACCCCCTCAAATCACTTTTCCTTGACTCACAGTTGTCTGGAATACGATCGAACCTCCTCCAGCGGACTCTCCTGCAAGAGTCACACGAGCCGGGTCTCCGCCGAAAAGGTGAATGTTTTGTTGAATCCACTCCAGCGCAAGCCTCTGGTCGAGGAGTCCAGCATTGGCAACGCCTCCCTGGGATGTAAATTCTGGGCCGCTGAGGAAACCAAAGGCACCAAGGCGGTAGTTGAGAGCCACATAGACAAAATCGTGGTTGCCTTGTCTTAAGAGACCAGCAGGCGAACCGCTGTTTAGTCCAGCCTTGGAGCCAACGTCGTAGCCACCGCCGTAGATCCATACGAAAACCTGTTTGAGTAGCCAGTGTCAGCTCAGGAATCTTAGTTTCTTTGACGACAGGGGAATCGCATGGATCACAAGATGTTCTACTTACGGGTGCTCTAGTAGCAGTCTCATTGGACCTGACAGCATCAAAAATCTTCTTCGGGGCCACCACGTCAAGAAACAGACAGTCTTCGCTAGCTCTCGAGTCAAGGAGCTGACTAGCAGATATTGAGATGTTAGGACCGAATAGGTATTGGTATGCTTGTTCGATCAGGCTCGGCGTCCATTCCGGGAGGGCCTGTGGGCAGATTCGGGCCTCTTCACCCTTCTGCACGATAGACCTGTTCGTTGCAGGAGGTACCGGGGCAGCGAATCGAAGATCTCCAATTGGTGGGGCTCCATATCGAATGTTGGAAAAGTTGTATGCTTCACTCAAGGTCTGTGATGGGTGAGCTTTTCAAGGATGGCAAAATCAAGTGTCGTTGCATTTGGGGCAATTGCCCTTCAAACACAAGGTTTTAGTTACATCGAAGTTGAGAGCTTGATGAAGCTCGTAGCCTAAGTCTACAATCGGTAGACTATTTGACGTATTGCCTGTTTCGATGCATGACGCTGAAACGAGTGAGGTGCAGACGAGCGTGATGGTACCTGCAACGAAAGAACGCATCATGGGGAGAGCGAAGCCGTGTCAATCTTTGAATGATGACAAGTGAATCGAGTGTGCTTGCGAAAGAATGAACGAAGAAGAGAATTTGGTTTCTTTTAAACATTTCTACTGCTTTGTTGCTTGCCTCTCTTTGCTCTACTGAAGAAGACAGTCTTGATTGCTTCTACTGCACCTCGCGGGTCTCCACTGACCAACCAGTCTGTACGGACGAACCTTGAGCCGTGATGCAGCCAGCTGACGTCTGTAATTGCTGCATGTTGGATTACGATAGCAAAAACCAAGACTATAAGTCAAGGGCAAGGGGGCTTGAGTCAAGCTGCGGCCCGATTCCTTAGCTGAGCAGACACCAGTGCGGAAACAAGCCGCTCTTCTTTCCTCTTGTGCGTCTTCTCTTTCTTTCTAGAAGGTCTGTTCCTCCTCCACTCTAGCCGTCTTCACCACCTTGCCAGGGCACGCCGGCATTCCATCAGCCGGGATATATCACGACTTGAAAATAAGCGAGAGAGAGAGGAGGGAGAGAGAGAGAGAGAGAGAGAGAGAGAGAGAGAGAGAGAGAGAGAGAGAGACGCCATGAAGGTATTCGGATAGACGATGATGTGTATGGCTCGGATTTTGATTGGGCAGATACGCGTACGTGGCTGTCTGTAGTAGCCTGTAATGCTAATATCTAAGCCCGGGGCCGGATCCGTCAGCTCGGTTTCGGGAACGATATGAACCGGTTTAACTGCCGGGTAAGGCCATTCAGGAGCTACAGCCAGGGACACGGAGAGTCATTGTGGAGTGAAAGCTGTTTCTGTACCATTTCCGGGTCCATAAGGCAAGCAGTTACTTTCTTAGCGGGCAAGGAAGCACGGCCATGTCAGCGACACTGCGAGACATACTTGTTCCTATGTCCGTACACTCCGTCTAAAAGACTGACGTAAGAATATTAAGTCCGTTAACAACAAAGAATACTTGCAACTAGAGTTGGCTCACACGTACCTGTCAATTTACATATTTAATAATCAATTATTCCGTAGTAAAAATTGACTGTATTACTGGACAAGATAATACACATTGTTAGAACTTACGTGGTCGCATTTTTAATTTTCTATTCGTCAAGACTGAGCCACCTCCTTGGCAATTTCACATATCCAACCTTCTCAAAAAATGACCAGAGTTCTTCTTACCGGAGGCAGTGGCTTCATTGCTACGCATATTCTGAAGCTTCTTCTTGAACGCGGGTAGGAGACATTCCAATTCGCGAATAAAATGTATATGCTGGTCTCAACTAAAAGCATCCATGTAGACACTCTGTGGTCACAAGCGTCCGCAACCAAGCCAAAGCAGACGCTATCAAGCAGTCATATCCTGAAATCGCAGCCGACAAATTGTCCTTCGTCATTGTTCCCGATGTGGCTAAGAGCGATGCATTCACCGATGCCGTCAAATCTGACCCACCATTTGAGGCGGTCATTCATACTGCAAGTCCCTTTCACTTCAACGTGACTGACATCAAGGCGGACCTCCTTGATCCCGCTATCAACGGAACAACCGGTATCCTCCAAGCTATCAAGCAAAATGCCTCGTCGGTTAAGCGCGTGGTCATCACGTCATCCTTCGGTTCCATGATGGACATTTCCAAGGGGCTATGGCCCGGTCACACTTATGACGAGAGTGACTGGAACCCCATCACGATGGAACAGGCGTTACAGAGCGCTGGCGCTGGTTACTCTGGTGAGGTGACCCCTACTGTCTCGAGATCGCGCTGAATGCGGTACTTGATAATTGCTATGTATCTGACAAGTATACAGCAAGCAAGAAGTTTGCTGAAAAGGCAGCTTGGGACTTCCTCGAGGCCGAGTCTCCTGCGTTTTCCATTTCCACAATCTTACCACCCCTCGTCTTTGGTCCTGCTGTGCAGAGCCTGGCTTCCCTTGATGCCCTCAACACCTCAAACCAATTTATCCGCAGCTTCATTCTTGGCGCGGCGAAAAAGGAAATTCCTCCCACTCAGGTCAGTCCATCTTCCCTGCCATAACTCCGATTATTTCGACGCACTTCGGCTGACTCGAGTGTGTATCACAGAACCCCATCTTCGCCGATGTACGAGATGTGGCATTTGCTCATGTAGCGGCCATGGAGAAGAAGGAGGCTGGCAACAAACGCTTCTTTATCACGAACGGCTACTGCTCAAACCGTGAGATTATTGAAATCATCCGAAAGCGCTTCCCGGAATACAAGTCAGCTTTGCCTTCCAAATGCACTAAGGGCGGTGGTACGTGAAAACTTTGATTGCAACTTATTCAATGATCACTGACCGCTGTCTAGAACTGCCCAAGGAGGTTTACCAAACGAACACCACACGCAGCGTCGAGATTCTGGGCATGAAGTACGCGGATTTCGAACATTGTGTTATTGACACCATTAGATCTTTTGCCTCCGTCAAGCAGTAGCATCACAGTGCTCGGGTATCGGGGGAGATGACATCAAAATTGTAGCATATCTAGCATAGGAATGATCAGGATTGCTTCTATGTTCGAAATGTGTTAATCCATAGGGGTGATGTGCGATAGTCTAGAATTTGAACTTCAAGTAATATTAGAAAACCCCAAACCCGAAGAAAATGATGCTGCTATGAGGTGGTCTATCAACGTAAAGTAATCTGCACAGCAATATCCTAAGGCATGAAGTCCTGCGCCATCATGTACGCTTCATTCCTGGCCTCCTCATCATGTAGAGCCCCACTATGGTTTCCGGACAAGAAGGGGGTTTAGGGAAGCCATGGTTTTTCGTCAAACGGACGTAATGAAGCCTACCATTTTTGCAAATTGTAAACCGATAGAAGAATGAGATAAACAAGTATCGGTTCAAATAGAATGTTTGATTGGTAGGAGCATGTATAGTAGTTTCATGCGTGCTGATGATCCAAGCAACCTGTTGTTGTCGTCTTGTTCCAACATCGGCTGGGGACCGATAATGCGGCCGACGCGGCCGCCTGCGATGACTGAGTTCGCTAGAGGCCCAGAGCCTCTATTAGGTAGCAAGGAAGGTTGGAACCAAACATTCAATCGAAAAGGACACAGTATAATTGGAAACAAATTCTACCTAAAGTATCTAAAAAGAGACCACTTATGAACTGAATGGGGTGAGAGTCTGGAGTTCCCGGCTGGATATTCCAGCGCGGGCAATGCGGCCGCATGCCGCACGTTGACTAGTGAGTGGAGGGAGGCGCAATGCGGCGACGCGGGGATACGAGAGTGAGATGCATGCTTAGCCAAATCGACGGCGGATGAATAGGATACTTCTGGATTTACGAACATTAATTCCGAGAGAGGTCATGTTGCCTGCGCGCTGGTGTCTTTTTGTATGTCTGAGAATCGAGTATAAAGGGTCAGGTCGGTCGATTTGACATAACCTGGTGGGAGTTGAAAGCATATCACACCTCATTATACTTTACATCTCTATACACTTCAAATTCCCAACAAGCGGCTGGTCAGTCTCCCATTTTTACATCATGTCTTCAAAGTACGCCTCTTCCCATCTTTCTCCTCAAGGTCCTGGGGATGCTCGTCCTACAGCCCTTCAAATCATCAAAGACGAGGGTGTTGAAGACAAGCTCTCTGACAAGGTTGTCCTCATCACTGGCTGTTCCTCCGGCCTAGGAGTTGAGACGGCGCGTGCGCTGTTGGTGACAGGTGCAACATTGTACCTGGCGGTTCGCAATCCCGCCAAGGCGAAAGCTGCCTTGGGCGACATGTCCCAGAACGACCGAGTCCATCTCTTGACGCTTGACCTGAATGATCTCACGAGCGTCAGGGCCTGCGCCGCAGACTTCGCGACAAAGAGCAAGATCTTGAACATCCTCATCAACAACGCGGGTGTTATGGCGACACCTGAGGGCAAGACTTCCGATGGATTCGAGACCCAGTTTGGCACCAACTATGTCGCCCACTTCCTCTTCTTTCAACTCCTCAAACCTATTCTTGTTGCCTCCTCGACTCCAGAATTCCCTTCGCGGCTAGTCAACGTCTCTTCAAGCTTGCATAGAGCCTGCGAGGTCCAATTTGACAATTTTAATTGGACGGGAAACTACGACCCCTGGAAGGCTTATGGCCAGAGCAAGACTGCTCTTGTATGGATGGCCAACGAGGTGGAACGCCGATATGGATCTCAACACCTCCATGCCTTCAGTCTCCATCCAGGGGGCATCTTGAGCGGTCTTCAGCAACATGTCCCTGTCGAACTGAAGGAGGCATGGGGGAGGAATGAGGCCCTCGCCAAACATTGGAAGAGCGCTGAGCAGGGAGCCGCGACTACTGTGTGGGCGACGGTCAGCAAGGACTTGGAGGGCCGGGGTGGTAAGTATCTTGAGGACTGCCAAATCATTGATGCATGGGATCCCGCAACTGGTGATGCTGGCTCGGGATACGCTACGTGGGCGTACGACCAGGAGAAAGCTGAGAGGCTGTGGTCATTGGGTCTCAAGCTTGTCGGGCTACCAGATGCCGAGTAAGGCCATCCTTCGGACCGCCTGGAGATGCTATAAATAGTACGAGCTTACTGGTAGAAGCATGAGATCTTAAACAGTACTCCAAAAACTATATCGTTGCATGCACGATCAAGTACGCAGGCTAAGTATGCAAGAGCATCACGTAGTGTTGTAATTGACAAGGCTATTGTTCACCTTTTCCAAACCTCCCATCTCAAGCCGTACGTTTAAAACCTGAAGTAGCCAACTATTTGGTGAGGACTCCCACAACATGGGGGATCACATCGCTGCTTGACTCATCCGGCGGTTGGGCCAAGTCCACCTCGCTCCATGAGCCAACCTGCCTCAAGGTCTGCCCAGTGGCTCGGCACAATTGACAAGAACCCATCATGTGCCCCCAAAAGATATTTGTGAATTCTGGGAAACAATGTCAGTATGATGCATGTCCGAAGGTGTAGGAAGGTTTCTCACGTTGAAAAAATGGGATAAACAGCCCTTGCTCCGCCTTGACATGCTCAAAGACGTACCATCGGCCGCCCTTCTTCAAGTAGTTGTAAAGCAGCTGTATGTTCTTCTCCGGCTCCGGAATGCTGCAGAGGCACTGGACAGTCATGATGCAGTCGACGCTACCGGGCTCGATCCGTCCGCCCCAAGCCGACTCATTCTGCAAATCCTCAATGCCCACCGGCACAACCTGGTAGGTTCCTTTTAAGCCGACCTCTTCGATACGTCGTTTCAGCGATGCAGCAGAAACCGGGTTCGGCTCGACGCCGTAGATCTTGGTCGGAGCTGCACGGGACTCGGCCTTGGCGGACCGGACGACGGTGGCGAGCGACTCGGTCCACATCCCACTGCCGGCTCCGATTTCGAGGACAACACCTTCGATAGGCTTGCTGGTGCCTCTTTCGGAGACCCGTCCGTCACGAATTCGGCCCTCCAGGAGCGGCAAGACTTTGTCCTCTGCGCTGGCTTTGGCTTTGGGGCCCATGAATTTCCAGAACTCGCCGAACCAGGCCTCTTTGAGTGCGGACCAATTCGACAGGGTCTTGACGTCACCGGTGATGGCGAGTTTGAAGATGGTCAACCATAGGTAGATCAAGGAGATGGTCATGAAGAACCATGGCAGAACGATCTTTGCCAACATTGTGATCATGTGAGGCGGTTCGATTGGTAGCAGAGACGTGAATACTCGCAATGGTATCACTGTGATGCTTTTGATGCTTTAATACAACATGAATTCGGAAACTTTACGAGATGTTTCCGTCCTCTTAGTCAAAAGCGCTTGAGCACGGATATTTTGGCGCCATAGAATGGCAGCAGAATGCAACGGAGACAAAAAGTTTGCCCCTCAGTTTCAAACCCCGCGCCGCCTAAGGTGAACCGATCATCTCCAAAACGTAACATGGGGCCGGGAAACTTGCTCGCTTCAATGGAGAGAGTGTGTGAGTTCTAGACTGAGAGCAAAGACAGGGTAGAGCGAACTAAGAATACATCTTTATCAGATAGAATGTAGAGTTTATGACACGCTTAGGGACGCGCAACTACAATAGGCACCAGTGGTAGACTTTGTTTCAATAGGCCAAAAGACCCGAGATGAGATTTTCTATGTACAGTCTGATCATTGTTCATATTACAAATGGGATTTTTACAGGCGGGCACTGATGTTCAGAGTCCCAGATTGCTGCTAAAAGCCAGCTAGAGCATTTAGAGTTTCTTGACAGGCTTAGCGGCAGGCTCCTTGGAGATGCGCTTGGCAGTCTCCTGCTCGTCGCGCTCGTGCAGCTCAGGCTTGGAGTCCAGGGGGCGATCCAGGCCGAGACGGTGGTAGGTGCTATAGGAAGCGATGCCGCCCTGGGGGTCGGCCTCGGTGACGAGCTCCTTGCGGCGGGTGTCGACCAGGAGGCGGATGAGGTCGGGGCGCATGTAGTGGCCGGCGAAATCGGCGAGGACCTTGGTGAGGTGGGTCTCGTTGAGGTCAATGTCGACGAACATGAGACCGTCAAAGTCCTTGTCGGGCTTGGGGACAGCCAGGCTGCCGTCGGGCTTGTAGATGCGGGCGTGGCCGTTGTAGTCGGAGGGGTCGGTCTCGGGCTCGACGCCCTCGGGGGTGTTCTTCTTGAGACCCTCGACAGAGAGGCGCTGGAAGGGAGCGAGGACCCAGGTGCCGGTCTCGATGGCATAGGCCGGGGTGACGAGCTCGGAGGCAGTGTCGGCGTAGTTGGTGGCCGGGTCAGGGGACACCTGGCGCTGAACGCCGGGGTAGATGGGCCATCCGGCGACGTGAACCTGCTCGCCCTGGGAGACGTTGAGGGACTTGAGGAAGGGGTTCATGTTCTCCCAGCAGTTGAGCTGGCCGACGCGGCCGATCTCGGTCTCTGAGACGGACATGAAGGTGTCGCCGGAGCCATCACCGTAGACGAGCTTCTCAACGTGGGTGGGCTTGATCTTGCGGCGGTGGTTGATGATGGCGCCGGTGGGGTCGATGAAGACCTGGGCGAGGTAGAGGGTGGCATGGTCAAGCTCGGCGAAGCCCATGGAGACGAAGATCTGGTTATCGCGGGCGGCGCGGCGGATACGGCGCATCTCCTCAGAGTCGACGCGGAGGGAGTTCTCGCGGTACTTCTTGAGCATGGGGAGGGACTGAAGGTAGGTGACCTTCCACATCCAGTAGGGGTAACCGGGGATCCCTGTGGGGGTATTAGCATGCTGAAGAAGTTTGAGGCCAGGAGGGGTCACTTACAAACTTCGGGGAAGGCAACAAGCTTGCAGCCGGCCTGACCAGCCTCGTTGATGAAGTTGATGGTCTTCTGAACACCACCCTCAAGGTCGAACCACTAGGAAAGTCAGTTATCAGTGGAAAGGGAGGAAGATGGCATCGAGGCTTACACCGGGCTCGGAGGTGACGGCGGCGGCCTTGTACTTGGTGATAGGCATGTTGGCGGGTGTTGTTATTGGAAAGATTCGAAGGGAGTTGAGTCGATGATTGTATGAGACTAGAAGTCTTGATGATTGATGATCTTGTGTGAGTGTGATGATCTGGAAGGAAAAAGAGATGAGCCAAGTCGCGATGCTGAAGCCTTTTTATGATTTCTTCTTCCTCTCAAAACTGACTTTGTTGAAATGGATTGACTAATTTCACGCCGTCGGGCTTTGCGAACCATCTTGCAGACTGCATTTGACAAGTTGCATTTCTGAGTTCTTCAACACAGGTTGATGTCAGTTGCTCGCTTGATTTACAAACGCCGTATGTGGTACTACCTATTGATGCGATCCGGGCATTCGGGTCGAGTTGCGCAAGTTTCTAGTCCGCATTTCATTTCCATAGGCCGCCAACACCTTTGTGGCGTGACTGATGTTCGAGAAGTTCCGAGCTGACGAACAGTAACCAGACGAACAGACTGTGACACGACTCAAGCACTGCGGATACCAACATCATTCCTCACAGGTGGTAGGTAGCAGAGACTCGGAAGAACGCGCATCAAGCAGTCCCCTTGGACCTAATTCCGAGCCATGCGAACTTCGTCCGGGTGCCACGGGAAAGCTGGGCAAAAGCCGCGCTGCAGAATGGCATGTTGCCTCTGACGTAAACAGTACCCCGACTGCCGCTTTGCTCCGGGTCGATCAGGCGAGATCTTGTGGGTGCTCTTAATTTAGTTCCCGTCTTCCCGGCAGCGGCGCGGTTCTCAACGTGCAGCTGGCCGGGGGGCCATCGCCGTTTGTGGATCTCCGGGATCTGGAGATCTGCGTGCGTTCAAACCCCGCCAGATCCAAACACCTACATCGTCTGATGTTCGGGGACGCCTCGATCCCGATAATCTGTGGGGAACCATGGGTGTCAGTCACGGGAGAGAAGGAATTTGCTAAATACTATGTGGAATTGTTCCTATCCACTACCGATCTGATAATGCTGTCTCTGCTGTGCGTATGGGCGACCTTGTGCTCTGCAACGAATTGAATGCTCGCGACACACAGCTCTTCCTTCCGTGCGCGTATCGATCCATGTCACCATTGCGTCTCCCGACTGTCCTCGAACCAAAGCATTTCCTCGAAGGCCCTGACGCCTCATCCTATACTCAAACACAGTCTTCACCCAATGCTCCCTCACCCCCTGTCTCCAACTCTAGTGCTTCGTATATTGCTCTGCGTTCTGCCCGCTTCTGCTTCACTTCTTGAGGAGATAGTCGCGCTTCAGGAGAACTTTCATGATAGCCTTGGAGCGAGAAGGCTGTTCCTTGTAGGTCGGGTTCGGGTTGCCGAGCTTGTCCCAGAGGCTGGGAAGGCCGGCAGCACCCCACTTGTCGCGGAGATCATCGTAAAACTCCTTGTCGTAAATTCGCCAGAATTCCTCTTCCGTGTAGTAGTTGTCGCCGTAAACCACCTTGGTACCGCCGAGATCGCGAGTAGCCTGCTCAATCATCTTGTTATCCCGGATGAATCGCTCAAAGGCCTCGGGGCTGTCGCGACCTGGAACGTCATCAGGCCCGTGGATGGTCTTGGGACCCCACAATCGTACATTGACATTGATATTGTGGCAACGTTCACGGTTGCGACTGTCGGGAATGACTCTTACGGGGCAGATCCAGACAGGATAAATCCCCAAGTTGTTGTTGACCCAGTCGAGGAAGGCCGCAACGGTGTTTCCCGGCAGCGTAATATCTTGAAAGAACATTTTGCGGTTCTGTCTGCTATGATGGATACTAGCGAACAAGCACTCACCCTTCACGATGGGATTGAGAAGAAAGCGTGTAAGACCGTTGAAGGTATCGGGATTCTGACCGTAAACTCCCATCCAGAAAGAGGCTCTATCGTATCGGAAGAGATAATCCTTGATCGGTACCAGGTCAGTGACTATGCCTCTCATGTCGACTGAGCGAGATTCTGAAAGCGTGCAGAGCATGCAATTGGTATCTCTGACGTGAGAGACCGACTCGTGCACATGTAGAGCGAACCACTGATCATGAGCTCGGCTGAAGCGAACGACAGGCATGCCCTGCTTCTTCTCATCCGTCATGGTGCCAGTAATGATGACACCATCGTTTAGACCGAACATAATGGCATCGACGAAATCGACGGGCGAAGTGTCGGCGGTGTAGGACTGCATAGTGTTCAAAGCTTCGGCGGCGGAGTGAACTGGGAGATAGTTGAGCTCGACAAATCGGCGAGCAGGAACAAGCTTGACTTCGATGATTGTGCATAAACCGAGAGTACCACAAGAGCCAGCGAGACCACTAAAGAGGTCCGAGTTCTCGACGGGCGAGGCGGTGACGATGTTGCCGTTTCCAAGGATAACCTCGAGAGAAGCGACAGACTTTTCAAAGTGACCATAGCGGAATGAAGAACTCTCGAGCGCAGTGCCGGAAAAGGCGCCGCCCACGGTGATGCCAGGGAACTCAGGGACAACGGCAGGAATGAGGCCGTGCTTGAGCGTGGCCGTGACGAGAGTCGCTATTGATACATTTGGTTCCACGGCCGCGCGGCGCCGGCGAGGGTCGACAGTGATGACATGATCCAGCCCACTGATATCGATGATCTCATCCGCCTGTCGGGTGCTGGGCCGGGTGCTGTTGGTCGTCTTGTGATAAACGCGATATTTTATCCCGTCGCGAGCGAATTGTCTAGCCTTGGCGGCGATGACGCTGACGCGCCGGCGATGCTTGATCAAGCGATACTCCGTCTCGATGGATTCGGCCATTTTTCCATGAAGTAGACGTGAAGTGATTGAAGACTGATAAGGATAGGTCCGACGACCTACTTGAAGCTTCCGAGGGTGAAACAAAAATGTGGTGGTAATCGGCGGTTGGTGAGGTGACAAGTCTCAAGGAAAGCAACTCGACTGGAAAATAGAAAGTTGGAAGGAGGTATAGGCAACAGGGAAAAGTCCTCTGACCTAATCAACCACAGCGGGGTGAGGGTATCTAGATGGAGGAGGCCGGAAGGATGAGGAACTTCTTGGAAGACCAGTTCCGTGCCATGAACCCTGGGCCTTGTGAGAGAATCCGTGGCCAGGCAGTGAAAAGGCATGATGCTTATTGCCTCGTCGTATGTTGTGTGTGGGCGTGGCTGAGAAGGCGAGTGCAGGGGATGACTGTGCCTTCATTGTCTCTCTTTGGTAACATAAAGAGGTAAGACGGGAACCATCTTATGGCTCTCACAACAAAAGGAGAATAGAAGGAAGGTTCATTGTGACAGTTTTCAAAGGCGTGTCAGAACGTCGCTGTTCGAATCTCACTCGGCATACCAGTATAGGAGGCATGGGTCAAGACTGATCAGTATTGCTTTCAATCAGGTTTCAAGCTCCTTGTATCAGAGTGCAAAATATTGCCCATAGTTGAAGGGTGAATGAAAAGAAAGTATTCAAGCGAGAACTTGATCACCTTCACTTGTATCTCGAAAGCCTCATAGCTTACGATGAATGAGATCATAGATGGGGAATATCCCAAGCCTCAATTTCTCAGTCTTACACAAATGTTTGCTTGATCATCTCAACTGGGCGGATGTAATGTTAATTGCCTGGCATCCAATCAGCTTATCACATCAAAGGTGCGATGCAAGTGAAGTTGTGACGAAGTTGAAAAAGCAGTAATGGTGTTGGCAAACAGCTATCCGGTCTGTTCAGATAAATTAGTACACATTCACTCCTATGCTTTGGACGAAAGCTCAAATGTGATTCACTACAATGAGCCAAGTGAGGCATGTAGTGAGTATATGAGGCAGCTTATCCTGCTGCGATGAGACTCATTTTTTACTTAACACCTCAAACCTAATTATGCAGGAAGAAGAGAGAAAGGCAGTCACCGGTGCTCTTGACTTTGCAGAGCACCTCGGTTTGCTTGGGTGGAAGGAGTCATCCCACAAACAGTCAAACACCAGGCAAGAAGCATCACCACCAAATATCCTGCGGGAAAGACAGAATTACGCAATTTCCTCAAGATTTTGTTCCTGATGTTGGGAAACCACCAGTAAAACAGACGAACTTCCATTTCCACGCCCCCTGGTGGTCGCCCAACATCGACATCCAGTCTTCAACATCATATCATCCATCCACACACTAGTCTCTAGACTCCCACCATATTCCCCCCCAATAGCCGACGGATACCCCAAGCATCTATATGCACGCGCCGAATACAGCCTTTTACCTATTCAGCCATGTTCTCGTCAACACTGCGTGCGATGCGAGTCAGGGATGCCCGGAAACAGGCCAAAATGTTCGAAAATGCATTTGAACGGGCGATGGAACTGGCCAGTCCTGAAGTGATAACCGAGTTTGCTGCCTCCAATCTGGAGGTGTCATATGATTCCGACTGGGATCTGGAAGAGGGTGCAGAAGAGAACATGGAGTTTTGGGATGATCCACCTGTACGCGAATCCGAAAACGGTTCGAAAAGCGGGAAAGGGAAAGAACCGGAGGAACGTCTGCCATTCGTCTATCAGCCACCTCATGAGAATGATCCCGCGGACCAGCGTTCAGATATCAACACTCTCCTATGGTTACTTGCTGCCACAGATGTCGAATCCGATCAAAGCAGACGAAATACACCAAGAACGGAACCCAGCAGCAGCTCAGACGTATCCATGGGTGATGCCGAGGACTTTGAACAACGCGATACAGAGATGGCAGACATACAAGCCGAACCAGGGACTCAAAGTTGCAAGCGAGAGGGCATATCAGTTACAGAAACATCGACCCTAGGCAACCCACTCGAGGCAGAAGCCGATATACCAATGAATGATGCACTGTCGGTAACGAGTCAAGGAGATTCTGGAAAGAGATTTCCCCCAGGAGTTTCTATCGAACACGTGGAGAATGTTGAGAATGATGGAGGCTTGGAGCGGAAAGAAGACGACGGATCGCTTGAAGCGGCACAGCTCGAGAGTTCATCCGAATCTGCCATGGCACAAAATGATGATAAACAGCAAGTGGAGTGCCCCAGCATGGAGAAGAGACCTTCCGCTATCTCGGTCGAGTTTTTGGAGGGCATCTGGCACCATTATCACGAGCTGCAAGAGTTTTGCGAATGGGAAGAGGCGCACGAGTGGAATCGAAAGAACCTTCGCAAAATGCTCCGAGAACCCTTGAATAATAGTCGAGCCCGCCATCGACAGCGCTCTCCGATGCCATACCCCCGGTATGGACGATCGAGAAGCCCGTTGGGAGTAACCGTGATGACAGAGGGGGTTGAAGAAGACAAACAGTCGGCGTACGCGGCAGAGAATATGAAGTGGTAGTGACATGGAGACTGAATGGCGCCTTGGAGTATCTAGTATAGCATGCTCGACGTTTTGGGGAGCTTTTCGGTATCGTTGGATATTGGCATCAGCGGGGCTTTCTGTCAGTAGTAGAAGGACTGGGTGTAATAGCGAACATCACGGTTTTATGATTGCGTTAGACACACACTGGAAGTAGCGCCAAGCTTGGAAATTCATTTTGGTCCATTGACTCAACGTCTTGTGTTTGCAAATACTGTACGTTGCGAGAGTATTGTAACCCTTGAATGATGCTGAACGTGACCCTTACTCTCATTAAAGTTTCTCGCCGATGCTCCCGAAAACCGGCTTGGGCTCCGTCTCATCGCCATGTTTTTCAACGGAATTCTCTGTGTCGTTCCTGATAGACGTTCTAGAAAAAACTGGCGACTCATATTAGCCTTTTGCTAGACGTTCAGTTGCGGAAAACTTACGTGCATCCATCTCTTCAAGAGATTTCCCCTTAGTCTCCTTGATGAAGAACCAGACAAATACGACGAGTGCCCAATTGAAGATGCAAAACATCAAGAATGTCTTCCACCCAAGGTTCTGAACGGCGTGTGGCGTCGCTTGGGAGAAAACAAAGTTGAAGAGCCATTGTGTTGAAGTGCCGATGGCAATGCCAGCTTCGCGGATTCGAGATGGGAAGATTTCACCCATGTAAACCTGGATCTCGGTCAGTGGCGTCCTTTGAAGGTGCAAGAATGTTTCAAACTTACCCATGGTGCTGGACCCCATGAAATGTTGTACGACATGGCTTCGAGGTAGATCATCGTCATTGAGGCGATGGCTGTCGAGGTCAAACCCTGGTCTACGGATTTGGGCGGGTGGGTTGCGGTGAGGCAGGCGATAATGAGCATGTAAGTCCCCATCAGGAATGCTCCACCCAACAGCGAACCGCGGCGTCCGATACGTTCGACGAGGAAAAGAAGATAGAAGAGACAAGACACGACCTTGACCAGACCGAAGAAGCCTGTGATGAGGAGGTTATTCTGACCTGCACCTACGGCTGCGAACACTTGCGGGGCGTCTGCGGATAATGTCAGTGTTTAGGAATTGGGAAACACGAGTATGGTTTCTTGGATCTTACAGTAGGCCAGAGACGTGTTGCCAGTGAGTTGAACACCTAGAAACTATGTCAGCCCTGGTCAAAGGGGTGTATGTTGCATGCTTTTTTGGATGGGTACCGATTTGTAGAGCAATGATGAGAAAAATGCGGTATCGGTTGACAGGCTGGATCAGCTCTCTCCATGTGAGTCCCTCTTTTTGGTTTCTCTCTTCTTCGATACTGGCAATAATTTCGGCAAACCTGCGGTCTCATCAGCATTCATGCTACTCTTCATGAAATCGAACAGCTCACTCTTCTTGGACTTCGGGCGCATCACCACCCCGAACCCAAATCAGAGACTGCAGTGCTTCCTCCCTCCGTCCAGTCCTGGCCAGCCATCGTGTACTCTCCTTGCAAAGCAGCATGCCCAATCCGAGAATCGCCCCAGGAACGAGTTGCAAGCCGACAGGAATCTGCCACTGCCTCGTTGAAGACTTGACATGCTTGCTCACACCGTAATCAACAAAGTAGGACGTCATGACACCCATCGTGAAAAAGAACTGGAACATGCTGCCGAGCATCCCGCGGATGCTCTTAGGGGCCATCTCTGCCGAGTACATGGGGATCACGACGGTGGCCATGCCTACGCCGACACCGCTGACGACTCGAGCGACATAGAAGGCTGCGAGGGAGTGAGTGTTGATTGTTTGAACGATTGCGCCGGCGCAGAATATTATTGAGGCGAGGATGATTGACCATCTTCGGCCGTATTTCGCGGTGAAGGGCCAGATGAAGAAGCATGAGAAGAAAGCTGTTGGTTAGACAGAATTAGCAGAGGCTCTCTGACCGTAGAAACTTGGGAAGTGGCAGACCTCCCGCCTGGAGCAGACTTGTTGAGTTTGACCCGACGTTGGCTTTCTGGGACGGTCCATAACGAAAGTCTTCTTGGAAACCTTGAAAGGTGAGGATACCACCAATAATACCAGTGTCGTATGCAAACAAGAAAGACCCTACGCAGCACAAAGCTACGAGGTAGAATGCTCGAAATGTCCCTAGTTTCGACATTGTCAATGGTGATTTGTGGAAGGTCAAGGCTCAATTGATTCACCAATCTGTCGTCTAGTGATTATGAACGACCACAGGCTGTCTTATGTACGGAGGCGTATCCTAGATGCTAAACAGCAAACTCAAGACTCTGCATCTCCCGATTTAGATAGGAGTGGAAAAATACCATAGGAGAAAACAGCTCTAACCAGTTTGTCGTCGCCGGCTCAGCACGCAATGCTAGAGTACCCAATAGCTGACTATCGCAGCATCGAACAGACGAACTCCTGGAGCCATTTCCAGAGTGCTTCCAGCACGCCATACGGCCCCCGTTTCCAGGAGCAGGGGTCAGCCATGGACAAACAGAAAGAGGCCCAGTGTTTCCTCTCTTCACTCGGAATGTGGATGCCGGTAGTCGGCCGGGACGCTCAATCTGGGATGGCCTCAAGGCCGGATGTGTCCCCACTTGCCCGTTTGAGATGCCGGACCGACTACCGAAGCCTCCGGGAGAGCGTTTGGGGGAAGCTCCGGCGAGATACAGGGGTGCCAGTCTTCCGTTCCTGTTGGTTTTCTGAGAGGTGCCTTTTGAAGATGCTTCGGTAAGGTAACATGCCATGTTCGATTCGCGTCAAAATATGTTCCACATCACTTGAGCAGCTCAAGAGGTTCATTGCCAATGGGCAAGATTATGGGGCATAGCTTTGGAGGGGCTTTGCTGCAGGGTTGGAGCTATCCCAAGCTTGATCCCATGCCCCTTCATTCAGTCACTCATTGTCATTAAAACCCTCCAAACAACTGAAGTCTCGCCTGCACCCTTCACATTTCAAACCTCTCCTCTGTTGTCGCTCCTCAGCTGTCGCAAATACTGAAAATGACGGATACAAGGCCCAACATCCTCTTCATCATGGCTGATGACCATGCCTCCAAAGCCGTCAGCGCCTACGGAGCTGGCATCAACCACACTCCAAATATTGACCGGCTCGCAGCGGAGGGAATGAAGTTCAACCACTGTTATGTCACCAACTCCATTTGCACTCCGTCCCGCGCTGCCATTCTCACGGGTACCCACAACCATGTCAACGGCGTCATGACGCTGAACGACAACATCAACAAGCACTTGCCAAACGTCGCGAAGCACATGCGTACCGGCGGGTACAGGACGGCAATGGCCGGCAAGTGGCACTTGGGCGAAGGCAGACCACACGAGCCCACCGGCTTCGACTACTGGTCTGTTCTCCCCGGGCAGGGCGATTACTGGGACCCCGAGTTCATTGAGCCAGCGGGAGAAAAGGTTGAAGATGGCTACGTTACAGACATCATCACCGACAAGTGTCTCGACTGGATCTCCAAGACACAAAACACCGACAAGCCCTTCTTCCTCATGTGCCACCACAAGGCTCCGCACCGCTCGTGGGAGTGCGACGAGAAGCACAAGGACCTGTACAAAGACCCGATACGCGTTCCCGAGACATACGATGACGACTACAAGAACCGCGCAAAGGCTGCAAAGGTTGCAAAGATGCGTGTTGCAGAAGATATGACGTACCAGGACCTGGGTCTTGTGCAGCCAGACGGTGGTAACAAGGTCGGCGAGCGTGTCGTTCAGGAGGCGGGCTCTGCGCAGCGCAAGATTCCCGTTGATGCCAAGAGACTGATCGATAAGGAAGATGGGACAGTGTTCACCTTTAAGAGCCAGGACGACCTTGCTCATTTCAAGTTCCAGAGGTACATGCAGCGATACCTGCGAACCATCCAGTCTGTCGACGACAATGTCGGGCGAATGCTTGACTACCTCGAAGAAAACGGGCTTGCAGAGAACACCATTGTAATCTACACCTCAGACCAGGGCTTCTTCCTTGGTGAGCACGGATGGTTCGACAAGCGATTCATGTACGAGGAATCTTTCCAGATGCCCTTCCTCATTCGATACCCGGCGGGAATTGCCAAAGGCTCTGTTTGCGACGACATCATCTGCAATGTCGATTTTGCGCCTACCTTTCTCGATTTCGCAAACCTTCATATCCCAAGCTACATGCAAGGCGAATCTTTCCGGCAGTTACTGGAGGGGAACACACCAGCAGATTGGCAGCAGATTGCCTACCACCGGTACTGGATGCACAATGATATTATCCACCACGCCTATGCGCATTATGGCGTCAGAGACCAGCGATACAAACTCATTTACTGGTACAACGAGCCGTTGGAGGCCAGTGGCGCTAGGCCGGGCGGAGAGAAGGATAAGGAGTGGGAGTTGTTCGATTGCGAGAAGGATCCATTGGAGCTGTTCAATGTTTACCACGACCCAGCTTACGCCGAGAAAGTGAAGCATATGACGAGATTGCTAGAGTTGAAGATGGAACAAATCGGCGACGAGCCAGTTCATCCCAGAGGTGTTGATACTGGCGGGTCAGTGAGTTTAGCAAGCAAATTGTAAGGCAGAACCAAAGATATGCTACTTCTTGTAAGCATGACTGCTTGACTACGATGACAGATCAGGGTCATAATTCGATGATAGTCTCTGGATATGCACGATCAAGACTTCAGTAGTTGTCATATCGGATGACTTGAATCGAAAGTCAATTATCAGAACCTCGTAGTGGCATGTTGGAGATTCATGGTGGAGAGGTGGATTCGATCTCCCAGCAAGGGTTCGTCGAAGTGAACAGGGATAAACCGCTCGCCAACTCCCGTAATTGGCTCACCAGGGCCCATTCCTGGATGTCGTTACCCTATCCACTCCTCGCGTCATGGCAGTCTAGCTCGAGTAGGTAAAGTGTAGACTCCCTCCGCATTCATGTTTGCGCTCTCATACAGAGAGATCCGGAGAATCATTCAAGAAACCCGGTTCCGAGGACGAGGAAACAGACTTCGAGTGAAAAGGCGGAATCCAAACCTTTCCTATCGTCCATCCATCCCCCGAAATCCATCCCGCCGGCTTGCTCAAACGACTCCTCCGACATATCATGCTTGCTCAAGCTCAAGCTTCCATGGCATAGAATTATTATCAACTTCTATTGTAAAGTTACGGAACCGAACGACGCTGAGTTGCGGCAGGGCACTGCAACATGAGACGAGGTCGACAATGAAGTGCCAGGATGCCAAATTTTCAACAACAACATGATGGACTCTTTCGTTGGCTGCTTTCAAGCTGGCCCAAGCACGACGCGTCAGACTTGTTCTCAATGCCGGTGGCGCAAGGTCAGTCCGCTGGAATCGTACCGTTGGTCTGTGGCCGTGAATTGACCTGAATCAGGTCAAGTGCGAAGGTGGCAGTGAACTGCGTTGCGGCACGTGTGCTCGTCTTGGGCTGGATTGTTCGCTTGCCGCCATCGAGGAAGTTGGACCAGATTTTCACTTTGGCAAGCAACAACTGGTCTCCACCAAGCCGCGACGCCTCAGAGGCACCCGGGCGTGTAAAGCTTGTCGAGAAAAGAAAGTCCGCTGCTCCGGCACATCACCGCGATGCACAAACTGCGCGCGCCATGCTAGAGAGTGCACATACCCGACGCCGGCACGAAGTGCGAGGGCATCTTCCCCGCAGAGCACCTCTACCGAGGGAGACGAGTCCTGCGGAGTCGAAGTCGGCCAATTCCTCGCCGGCGCCGTGGAAAGCTTCTTCGAGAAGGTTTACCCTCTTCCATCCCACGCATTTCTGCACCCCGAGACGACCAGGGAGCGTTGTCGAGAGGGGAGGATTGACTCGGCCCTGGCACACGCCATCTGTGCTTTGGCGACCCTTCACTGTGGTTCGGATCTTCAGACTCGCGACAGAGCTACGCCGTGGGTTCAGACGGCGGAACAAAAGATATGGCAGCACCTCGAGAGCCCTACCATACCGCGTTTGCAGGCCCTGCTGCTCGTGATTCACTATCAAATGGAGACTGGAAAGTTCCAGAGAGCGTTCATGCTTACGGCTACTGCGGCTAGGTTTGCAGCTGCGATGCGACTGAACCATGAGAGGCCTGATCTCGACTTTGTCGCGCAGGAAGTACGCCGTAGGATCATGTGGTCGCTGAAGATTACTGAAAGGTACTTTTCAGTTGGCTTGCCCGAATTTGAAGCTTGCCCTATCGAAACGATTTACCTGCAATACCCCTCAGATGAGAATGATTTCAGCAATGATGGAGGTTGTGGTGATGGGGCCTCCTATAGACTCTACGTGAACTTGGAAATAACTCGGAGGGACATTATGAAGTTGACAAGAGGAGTGACTCTTTGCGACCAGCCTTTCTTGCCTTTGACGAAACTCATTGGCGACTTCGAAAGCGACCTGGTCGAAATCGGATCGCTGTTGCCAGACGGAACGAACTTTTCTATGGTCAATATCGGAGCCCTTGAAGGCGACCGATGGCTGCGGAGACGGCTATTCATGCACATTTCATTCCACCAAGCCCATTGCGACCTGTACCGAATCCTGCTTTCAGGATATCCCGAAGCAGCACCTCGCGTGGTTCTCGAGGCAGTAGACATGGACTACATCACCATGGCAGAACAAAACTGCCTTAAACATGCCACCGCCATCATTCAGATCTTGACCAGCCTCAACCAACACAGCACAGAACTTCTGCTTCTCGAATTCGACACGGCTATTTGCGCCTACCACGCCACGAGGCTCTTGCTTTTCATAGCCCGAGCACAAAGAACGCCGGGCTGTCCCTCACCAGAGTTTGCCTTGAGCCGCGCGGCTTTGTGTCTGGCTGCGCTTCAGCGTTTCTTTCCTTCCTCCGCACTGGTCAAGCCCATCATCGACGATATGGAGCGACTTTCCCGGGGCCATGCACCTCAAGAAGCCGGGATAGGCGGGCTATCGTCGCCAGAGTTTCAAGAAGGAAGACGGAATCTAGAACAGCGACTTTCAGAGGTAGCAAAAGCGAGACAGAGGCTGGCAATTCACAGTCTGCTGAGACAAGCCGACTTTACCGACGAGGATGAGGGAGACGATTACTCTTCTTCCATGTCTGCGTCCGGGTTGTCCCCAATCATGATAAGGCGAACGCCCTAGACTCTACAGGCAGCTTCTAGACTCGGACAGTGGCGGCAGCAGGTCCGGGATGCGTACCCCGCGAAAGAGCAGAGTTTCTACGTCCGCAGTTCGGATAGCTGCGGGCGGCCTTTCTGACGAGGCACCGTTCTGATGAAACTGGTGGAGACGCCTGACTAGCAAGTAACTATGCATTTGGACTCGCTTACTGGTGTCAGCAACAAACATATTAACCGAGTTTGAACATGTGGCTCTTGTTACCATTCCTGAGTATGCAAACTCTCTGTTTCTCGTCAAGGTGGAGCTTGGTGTGTTAAACTCTGGCATAGGGAATAAGAAACCAATAAGAAGTTGTAAAAGTTGTTGCATGCGCTTATGCATAGAGCAAAGACGATGATGTGACACGCTCCACGCGATACTTGCTCATACCAGGTGCGCAATATGATCGAACCCAGTAGAGTGGAAAGCGACATCCAAGCCACCAAGAAGGCGGTTCGTGGAGCTGAAATAGAGTTTGTCTTTTTCCGCAGGTTACTTAAGCTATTCTGTAGTGTTATGTATTTTTCTGTCAAAGGCCCCTCTCCTCTGTAACCACTCAGCGTTTCAGTCCGGCCTCACGGCGTTCCCGTTCTCTGGGTTGACAAGAACGTACATGTCAGGCGCCGTCTCATGTCCCCTGTTGACATGACTCAACAACAAGGCAAACACGATGATGGCTCAGAGGAACAGGTCAAGAACAACATGAATTTCGAGGTGGCGGGCAAGCAGAAAGAGATAAATATCGTTGAAAGCCCGCCAAGATGGTTGGAATAATAATCATCTCCAGCGCACCATCTTACTATTCACTCAACGATTTCATCAACTTTATCACACATAATACCTAAATCAGACTTTCCGGTTAAAGTCCAGCAAAATGAAGTTCTCCGCCGTCATCCTCTTTGTTGCTTCAGTCGCCGCCGTTGCTCTCGATACCGATGTCCCTCCTGCGCTCAGCCAGCCTGGTCGCCGTGGTGTTGACTGCGGGGCTTGCGACAGACTGAACTTCTGCCCTGGCAAGCCCAACAACAATGTCGAGTGCGAGCTTGACGGCTGCTGCAAGAAGTAAACGATTTCCTCGGGCTTCCAACTGAAAATTGAGATATCAACATGTACGTAATCAGATCTATTTTCTTTTTAAATCTTAAGCTGCGATACACAAGCTAACAATCACGCAGACAGCGCGCTTCGGATACCCATCACGGTTGCCGTATTTCTGACATGTGGGAACTTGGTGAAGTCAACGTTCAGATGATCAAAGGTCTTAGCAACCTGATCTCAACTACCTTACCTTACCCAATACAATTGTTCAACCAATTTATTTGCCAACTCTGATCGGATGAAAGAGTGCGAATATCATCTTACACCAAAGTTGCGTTCAACCTCTGCAGATCTTGGGTTCTCGAACTGTTCCCAATCCAGAAGTTGCACAGTCCTGTCTCAACTTGCCATTTCCCGTCGACGAAGTAACCTAACTCGGCGTAAGGCACATTGAAGCTGACCTGTGAGGAGCTGCCTGCTGCGACTTCAACCTTGCCAAAGCGAATAAGCTTCATGACCGGGAACTCGATTTGACTGTACTCTGGACGATAGTAAAGCTGCACCACCTCCTGGCCATCTCTCGACCCCGTGTTCTTGACTGTCGCAGAGACAGTGACTTGGCTGTCCTTGTCACATTGACTGACAGTGCTGTTGTTACCCACTAAGTGGCATTGGATAGAGACGGAAGAAATGTTGAAAGTCGTGTAGCTCAAACCAAAGCCGAATCTCAAAGGAGCATAACGTGTCAGTTCTGGCAAGTGCCAATCATACTGCGTCGCCGTCCCAAATCCACCCTGGTCATCGGACGGGAAATAGTCATAGGCCACAGGGAACGCGCCATCGGCTTCCGGAACAGTGATTGTAAGCTTGCCACTTGGGTTCACACTACCAAAGAGGATTTCGACCAAGGCGTCAGCTGTGAATTCTCCGGCGAGCCAAGTGTGGATGATTGCCTTTGCACTCTTGGCCGACTCTTCCAGCAGGAATGTCTGACCCCCGCTGAGTACCAACACAGTCGGCACGTCGGCGTTGATCACCGCATCGAGAAGCTGCTGTTGCAACCCGGGAAATCCCAAGTGCGGATGACTAAAGCCCTCACCATCAGTCCGGTGAAGAGACTCGTACGAGTTGTCAAAAGACCCCCAGCCGGACCCGAGAACCACAACGGCAAGGCCCGCTTCCTTAGCTGCGTTGACAGCAGCCTCGATGCCCGAGCTGTCATTCATGCGTAAGATGTCAACCCCTGCAACATACTTGACGTTTTCCACACCAATTTCTCGCTCTAGACTTCGACGGAAGGTATCGCCATAGGAGGAATCTGAGGCGTTGTTGGCAGCATATTGGCCGGTATTGAGAATGTCGGCATAAGGGCCTAGCAGGGCAATTTGGTGCACTTCGCTGCGCTGCAAAGGCAACGTACCATCATTTTGAAGCAGCACAATTGCCTCACGCGACACCTTGCGACTGATCTCAAGATGCTCCTCGCTGCGAAGAGTCGCGCTCAGATTCTCGACCGAGGGAAGAGGCAGATCAAAGGTTCCAGTAGCAAATTTGATCTCAAGAATCGCTCGGACAGAGCTGTCGACAAGTTCCATGACCTCGGTATCGTTCGAATAGTTGATGAGCGTAGGGAATACAGAAGGCGGTCTTGGTGAAAGTTCGTGCTCCAGCCCACCCCGCAAAGCCTTTAGCCCGGCGTCCGCAAACGACTTGGCGACCTTTGACTGAGTATACATGTTGCGAATTGAACCAGCGTCAGACATTATGAGACCTTTGAAGCCGAGCATTTCTCGAAGAACCTTTCTGTTGAGGTACTTGTTCATGGACATGGGAACCTGATCGACGCTGGCATATGATATCATCAGTGACAGGGGGTTTGCCTCTCGAAAGGCCTTGACAAAGGGGGCTCCGAAGTCATTGAGGATATGGTTCAGGCCACTCTGAATGCTCGCAGTGTTCACGCCTCCGCTGCTAGAGCCGTAGACCCAGTGCTTGATTGTTGTTGCGACTTTGACGAAGCCGTTCTCATCTTTCTCCTGCATCGTGTTGATGTAGTGCGTCGCAAATTCGCCGACGAGGTAGCTGTCCTCGCCAAACCTAGGTGAAGTCATTAGGAAGAAGTCAGATCGTTGTTCGAAAGCACTTACATCTCGCCGTTTCTCCCATTTCTGGGATCTTTAGCAAGGTCAACCTCGGGCGACAACACCCAACGAGTGCCCATTGCCACATTTTCGTCACGAATAGCGGCTACGGCTTGTTCGTAAAGAGGAATATTCCACGTCGATCCCATGGAAAGGGCGCCAGGGAACAGAGTGCCACCGGAAATCATGAGACCACTAACAGAGTCGGCGATGGTGATATACGGAATGCCTAGTCTAGTGTTGTTGATTTGCTCGGCTCTAACCTTGTTGGCGATAGGCAACAGATCATGCGCATAATTTTGAGGCGCCCCGAAGCCTACGATATGATCAATATTGACGTGGAGATGTAGGATTACCAAATTTGGCTTACCGATCTGCCCATTCTGGGTCTTCCGGATTTCCTCGAACAGCGTTTCGTTGTATGATATCTTGCCGTTAACAGTCTCTGCAAGTCGTCTTATCCCTACGAGTTCAGGTCACTAACACAGCCCGGCTTTCGCAAGCTTTCCGACTAACCTCCGAGCTGGCCAATCTTTTCCTCCCATGACATGAGACGCAAGAGGTCGTCAGCTCGCTCTGCGGGAGAGCGTGTCGAGTCGAGATAAGCTGATCCATTCGATGCAGCTGTAGCACAGCTAATACGAATGAATTGCCAAAGCGCCAGGACCACGAACGAGGTTGCTGATTTGACCATCTTGACGACAATGCATAACACCCTGAGCGAAACCTGGGTATACTGAGAAAGCAAATGACAACATTTGCCAGGTTTTTCTCTATCTTTCTGAAAACCTTATATCTTCACTTAAAAAGCACGCCATTGTAAATGGTCCACCATCAACCAGGAGTTCGGGCCAAGACTCCACTCAAGAAAAGGCTCAAGGATTCCGGCAAGCAAGGCCGGGTCGGGTGCCCCACTTGGTTCGCCGGGGCTCCGAAGAGTCAGCTCGGATGTCGGTCGGTAGTCCTGAAGGGGGAAGGCTAGACCGGAGTCTACCCAATCATTCCCATTCCGTGCTGCGCGGTGAGGGATTGTACCATCCTATCCATGAAGAGCCATGGTGCTTAGAAGCCTCCAGGAATTAGTCGGCGACAGCTATTTGCTGTTCCATGCTAACAGATGCCCCATCTCTGGATCCGGTCACTTAACAGGTGTCCTGGGAATGTAGCTAGAGTAGCTCATCACAGTTTGGGTTCTGCGTTTGCTTGTTTTTTTCTTTGCACGTAAATATTCCCTTGAATCCAATTGTATGTCATCGAAAGCACATATAAGGTCCAATAGAAAACGCTGAAAGTATCTTGATGAGTTGCGTGTCGCTTCATTATCTACATGTCTATCTGGGAGCTGTCGACAATATTCCTATGCTTTGCTGCTGCCCTTGTTGTTATCAGGTTGCCTAACGCTCCTCCACTCCAAAGCCAAAGCACCAAAGATGGCGAGACACACGAGGACCAGGCCAACCAGAAATACATGTCTGATCGCCTCATTGTAAGCAATCAGAGCTGTATCCTTGATGGCGGCGGGGAGGTTTGTTAGGGAGGTGACACCGTTGTCCAAAATCTTCTGGGCATCAAGCCCGGGAACTGAAGAGAGTCGCTCGAGCAGCTGGGTATTGAGGATGTTCTGAGCAACAGCCAGGAAGATGGCTCCGCCAATGAGCTGGCCGAAGAACATGAGGGAGATTCCCACCGGCACATCCTTCTTCGGCAAGACTGTCTGGGCTGCTAGGTTTGGTGCTTGTGTTGACAGGCCCAATCCGAATCCGTAGATGATTTGGTATCCAATCCATTTGCTGCTGTCAGTGTTGACCTCGAATGTGTAAATCAACCCAGCACCGACAGCCATTAGGCAGATACCTCCGATCATGAATGGTGTGTAGTAGCCGATGCGACGAACAAGGGCGCCCGTCATGAGCGTGGCGACTACCATTGAGAGCATGAGGGGTAGGAGACGGATTCCGGACTCGACAGCTGAGACGCCTTTGATAGCCTGGAACCAGATGGGTAGATAGTAGGCTGATTTCCCATTAGTCTGAGTAATGTACGAGTTCTGTGCTGTTCGTGTAACTTACAGAATATCATCAGTTGCGATCCGTTGCAGATGGTAGCGTAGACACCTGCTAGGATACTGCGCTGCGTAAAAATTCTGCCAGGGAGTGTGGCTGTCTTGGGCATGAAGATCTGGACCAGGGCAAACCCGGCGAGAAGAACAACTGCGAGCACCAACAGAAGAATGATTCTCCAGTTGTTCCACTAAGAGCCATGGTCAGAAATTGCAACCAGATATGTTCGGGAGATGTAGACTTACAGCATACGTCGAGCCACCCCATTCCATGGCCAGAATGAGAGACACTGATCCAGGGATAAGCAGAGCGGTACCAAAAAAGTCAAGCTGCGCCAGCTTGGACTTCAAATCAAGCTTTGTGGTATCTCTGTCAGGAATGGCAAGGATCAAGAAGATGATGATGCCTGCCAAGCCTCCCAAGGGGAGGTTGATATAGAAGCACCATCTCCAGGTGACTTTTGAGGTGAAGACGCCTCCAAGCAGCGGTCCGACCACGGAAGAGACGCCGAAGATGGCGCCGAAGAATCCTTGGTATGTGGGACGTTTGCGAAGCGGGACGGCATGCACGATGATGACAACCTGAGGGAATGCAGGTTAGACCTTGATTTGACTGCGGGATAGTAGACCCAATACTTACTACGCCGCTGAGGATACCAGCCGCACCAAGTCCAGCAATGGCTCTCCCAATGATGAATGACACCGAATTTGGAGCCGCGCCACAGATTGCGGATCCAACTTCGAAGAGGAAAAGGGAAGTAAGGAACGTGCCCTTGACGCTGAAGAACGTGTAGAGTTTGCCGAAGAGGAGTTGTGAAGCGCACTGGGTAAGGAGATATGCCGATCCGTACCAGCCTATGTCAGTGACGGAGTGGAACTCGTCGGTGATTTGGGGGATGGCTGTTGTGATAATCATGCGATCCTGTGAAACGGTCCCGTTAAATTATTGTCTCTAGTTATACGTGGTGTGGTTGTACAAAGTTAACTTACCAAAGAAGTCAAAAACATGCACATGAAGGCAGACGACATGATGCAGGCGAACTTGAGTCCTGTCGGATACTCTGTGTCATCTACGGACTTTCCTCCATCCTCGAGCTTCTCTGAGACGTTCTTCTCGGTCTTGATATCATTGTTGTTTAGTGATGGCTCAGTAATAGTCGAAGCTCTTGACTCGTTGTCGTGGGATGGTGTCGATTCAGGATGTGTGCTTGATGGAGTTGCCATCTTGAAGGTTTTGTTGACGTTAAAACGTGTTGGGATACTGGGATCAGACTTTTGGCGGACTTGGTACTGGAAGCAGACTACTTTGACCACCTCAGATTAAAGCATTAGATATTGGGTGGACCAAGTGATTGAGATCTGAAGTAAGGTTGAGGCTGTTGAGCTGAAAAGACGAGAAGCCAAGACCTCGGGATGCCATTTCTTTATACATGTTCAAGAGGAATAATGTTTTCCAAAAGACTGACTTTTGAAAAGTCCGTTGTCGGAAAACGGCAAGAACAAGCCATCGTAGACCCATTGCTGATGCATCTTTGGTTTAGACCGTCGATCCTCCCAAACATCTCGGGCCCGAAATATCCAAAAGAGGCTAGACTCCTCAGTGATCCTCATAGTAAGGATGGAGCAATTCATCAGACGGAAGCCGAAAAGAAACGCTAACCTTCTTTGAGACCCGAGATTCCCGCCATCTTCCTTCGCGCCATCCCGACGGGCATCCTTCACCACAAGTAACCTCACAACCGTTACCGGACATTTTCCAAAGTCCGGGAAGAGTCCGAATATCTTATGAAAATCAATCAATCAAATGTGCATGGATACTTGTTTCGCCTCAAGCAATCCGTCTCTCATTTCTCAACGTTCTGCCCATGGCGACCCCGCAACCGACAGCTCTTCAAGGGCAGCATAAGCACGCGTGCTCGCTCTGCGCAAAGAGGAAGATCAAATGCGACAAGGCTGAGCCATGTTCAAACTGCACAAAGGCACAGGCGCAATGCCTCTACGAAGGACCAGCTCCGCCGCGACCTCGAAAACGAGCTGCTGACGAAGAGCTCCTTGCGCGCTTGGCCGCATACGAGGACTTGATGCGGAAGCACGATGTCGACTTTACGCCGTGTTCTCATGGTTGGATTACGTCTGGGCCTCAGGGGCGGATCAAGCAAGATAAATCTGAGGCGATATCCTCTGCGACGTCTCCGCTCGATCACCAGAGCTCAACGACTCAAGTGTTGAAGGGTATTCCCTTGACAACAGAGCGGTCAGTGTTAGGACGGAGTAGAATATGGCGTCACTTGCTGATTAGACATACTCAGTTGTCTTTGGTCAACTCTCCCGGCAGAGGTAAGAGTCGCCGTGCTGTTGAATAGACGACTAATATCTGACTTGCATTACAGCTCATGTACCCGCCCGTGCAGTGCCTCACTCGTAAAGAAGACCCTCTGCATATCCCAACGCCAGCGCTTCATGTTTTGATGACGACCGTTCAACCCGAACTTTCACAGCTCCACCCGGACCCAAGGCACATCTGCCGATTTTGGCAGATCTTTGTCGAGGCCGTCAACCCATTGTTGAAGATCATCCATGTGCCGACTCTACAGCAGCAGGTCCTGGACGCAAGTTGGAACCCGTCTGGCGCATCAAAGCCGCTTACAGCCATGCTATTCGCCATTTACACTCTAGCTGTCACCTCCACGTCCATTGAAGGCTGCCAGACTACCTTTGGCGAGGCCAGGAGCACGCTCATACTGCGCTATCGGACCGCCGCTTTGCGTGCTCTCATTGCAGCCGACTTCCTCACCACGCGAGACTTTGAGGTTTTGCAAGCCTTTATTCTTTTTCTCTTTTCTGACCCAGATTCGGAGCTGACATCCACTCTGACCGGCGCCGCAATCAGGATCAGCCAGAAAATGGGTCTGAACAGACCAAAGCCAGATCCAAAAGTATCGGTATTCGAGACTGAAATGCGTATACGTCTATGGTGGCAGTTGAACGGGTTGGATTCTAGAGTGAGAATCGTCAAAATTGCGGGCATGCGACTCCCACCATCCGAAAGTGATTTCGGCGATGTCCGCCTCCCGCTCAACGTCAACGACGCCGACTTGCATCCAGAAATGGCGGAACTGCCACCGGAGCACCCGGGCGCAACGGAAATGCTCTGCGTGTTGATGAAGTTTGAGACCTTCAACATCATCAGATCCTCCAGTAGAGCTGTCAAGGTCTTTGATGTCATCATACACGGCCCTGGGAAAGACAAGCCTCCATCAAAACTAGAAGATGATGCGATCAACGAGATTGAGGCCATTTACCACGAAAAGTTCATTCGGCACCTAGATAGGAATATTCCTCTCCATGCTCTAGTGTATACCATGACCAGGCTCACGCTAGCTCGCTTCCGGTGCAAGGTGCACAGCCCGCGAGGCCGGGCTAATAGCAATGGGGAGGTGCTCATGACGCGCGAGGAGGGTGATCTGGTTTTCGACTGGAGTGTGACTTGGCTGGAGATGATGGAGATTGCTATGAGCAGCAAGTTCTCCTCGCACTTTATCGCGCATATGACGACGAAATTCACCGTGGATGTCTACATCTATATCATTAGTGATCTCCGCAAGAGGGTCTCTGGTGAGCGGGTCACGTTGGCTTGGAAGCTTATAGAGAGTCTCTACGGATATCATCCGGAACTGATTGAGAACACGGAGAGTTCCTTCTATGTGGCGCTAGGGGACTTGACATTGGAAGCTTGGGAGGCTAGGAGGAGAGAGTTGGTCAATATCCAGGGGAGTCATGAGACCGATAATCCGCCCCGGTATATTTGCTTGCTTCGGGAACAGAGGCAACAGAAAATTGCGCCAGTTTCACAGGTGCCTGCGGCAGACTTTCAAAGTCTTGACCCTCTGGGACTCACCGATTCGGCAAACTTGGACTGGGACTATTGGAATGATTTTTTACGACTGTAGTCAGGTTGTTGTAATGGCAATTTCGACTTCAACTAGTATTTGCCATCTACATTGCAATTGCCCATTTGTGAAACTGAGACTCTTGAAGGTGGAGTTCGAGTTGCGGTGACTCTATCTAGTTCAAGCTCACGTTCCATCGCCAATGCGGGCCAGCGCATCCTTGTACTCAGAGCTAACGACCCCTTCGCCCTGCTCAGGTAGTAGTGAGTAAGCACATCGTAGCATGGGAACACCAAAGTCCCGTTTCAAACCTTGCGCTCAATGACTGAGAGCCAACAGTTACGATGGACCCTGGATGATGGGATCAAAGAGACAATGTTGTTAATACATCATCCGAATATTCCCCATCCGGAGATTGGGCCGCGGCACGCGTCTACGTAGTAGTCAGCAACATCCCTGCGCAGCCCACGAGTACGACGTTGTTGTCATTTGACAGTCGGCAAGCATATTCAATTCTTCAGCGGCACCTACCTGTACTTGGGGAACTACTCAATGTCTTCCAGTCTATTTATGATACTGTACGAACCTAAGGTATTCTTCCCCGGCACAGGAAATTCACATTATGAGATTTGCGTTCCTTCACCAGACTATTCTTAGTGACCTTTCCCCGCATCTTTGGTCCCCTCTTTTCCCACCATGATCGTCCGCCAACAGCCCCATGCCGACACACACTGAATGTATCCCTCCTCAAGACTTAACTCCCCGACGAGTCAGAAGACGTCCATATGGCGTAAGAATGCCTCTAGGACCTAATGTATAAGTCAAGAATTCGCGCCCGAGTCCGAAGTCATCTTGCTAAAAGGCACTAGAAGAGACCAGCCGACGAGCCCTAAACTCAAAGCTGCCCAGCTGCGCCATCCGGAAAACATGGAGCGAACTGGAGCAGCCCACTTAGTCTATCATAGTGTTGGGGAACCCTGGAGTTGTAACCTAGCCAAGTTGGCAAATCAAATAACCTCAATTGGCTGGGTCGGTTAAGCGCCCACACCTCAGACATGCTTCCCCGTATCAACTTCGCCCCATAGTTGTCCTGCCTAGTGCAACATAACATCTACATCCGTACTCTGTTGAGTCTGTTGTGTCTAGTCTGTCTGCACAATCACTGCGTCTGCATCTCTATGTGTCTATGTATCATTGCCATCCCATCCCCGCACCCGACAACTAGCTCCTCCTTCAGGGTTCTGGTCACATCGGGGTCTTCAGTAGCCCCTCCGCTTGTCCGCAACCTGCGACGTGTTCGCCGCCATCTGTGCGGCCATGTGGCCCCTTGAGCTTCTCGAAATGCAGCCCCAAGCTTCCAAGGGCCCCCTCCTCTAGGCCTTTGTCTCTCTCTTGCCAATAGATCAGCGCAACGCGGAATCCGGCGGAATACACCCTGCTTGCATTCCGCCCGAGCGTGCGTAACAGCCCTGTGGATTTTTTTCTCCAAACGCTGCGACGTGGCGTGCGGAGAAGGATATATAAAGTAGAGTAACCATCGCGGTCCGCGAGCCGCTTGTTTGTGCTGGTTGCTTCATCCCGACTCTCTGCTCAACACACTCAATCACCCCCACGCGCGCCTCTGTTTTTGAAATCTTTTGCCCCTCAATTGAGTTTACACTGGCTTTGCGAAAAACCGTAGCCATGGGTCTCTACAGCAAGCTGGCGGATGATATTACAGAGGTGGACGTGATCATTGCTGGAGGTATCTTGCAGGACTTCTACACCCCAAGCAACAATTTTCACGTATTGACTCTTCAATCCAAGGCGGAACAGCAGCTTGCGTCCTCGCTGGTCGTCTCGCGGCCGCCGACCCTCAATTGTCCATCCTCGTCATTGAAGGCGGCACGAACAACCGCGATGTTCCCAATGTCGTCCACCCCGCCTTCTTTCTGGACCACCTTGCCCCGACGAGCAAGACCGCAATCTTTTACCAGGGCAACGTATCCGACAAGCTGGCAGGTCGCGGTCCCATTGTCCCGGCTGGAGGAATACTCGGTGGCGGTTCCTCGATTAACTTTATGCTGTATGTTACCGAATCTCTGTCTCTCCCCTCCCCTTAATGCCCCCCTCCTCCCTCTTCGACTCTCTCGGATCTCCAGCCCCCCTCAAGTTCGTAGCCTCAACCCGGCATCCGATGAGACCTCCCCAGCTTCGCCTCCTTCATCCCCCCATATCCGCTCCCACACGATCCATTCTGTCTGGACCGTTTCATCCCGTACCCCGGATGCGGGGGCGGCAGTTAGCACCGGGATGGAAGGGGAAAAGTTGGGGTAGCTCCATTCTAGCTCGGGGCACATGAGCTCTTCTGACTCCCTCATGACGATCGACGTCCCCTCCACGAGCCAAGCTAAAGAGTCATGCTATTGCCAGCTACACCCGCGCCCAAAAGTCTGACTTTGATTCATGGGCGACACCCGGCTGGTCTTCGGCAGACCTTTGGCCTTACCTGAAGCGCTTCGAGACGTACCACGGTAACGGCGACCCGGCCCACCACGGCTCTTCTGGCCCGGTGCATGTGTCTTCGGGAGGCTTCCGTGTCGAGAGTGTCGAGGATGATATCCTGGCCGCCGCAAAGCAGACTGGCTACCCCGAGATTCGGGACTTGCAGAACCTAGAGGCAAACAACGGCTATGAAAGGTGGATGAGATACGTCTCGCCTGAAGGCAGACGACAGGATGCCGCACACACTTTCCTGCACCCACTTCTCGAGGATGGAAAGCACCCGAACCTTCACGTATTGGTGGAGTCAAAGGTGATCCGCGTCCTGTTTGACGACCATAAGCGTGCCGTCGGAGTCGAGTACACTCCCAACTCAGACTACCAGGCTGTCTTGAACACCACACAACAACCGGTCCGGAGCGTCAAGGCAAAGAAGATGGTGGTCGTGTCGTGCGGCGCCTGCGGAACCCCCGGCGTTCTCGAGCGCTCTGGCCTAGGAAGCAAGAAGATCCTGAACAAGGCTGGCGTTCCCGTTGTGGCGGATCTGCCTGGCGTGGGAAGCAACTATCAAGATCACAACCTTGTTTTGATGCCCTACAAGACGGTGTTGAAGCCGGAGGAGACGCTGGATAACATCTTTAGCGGGCGCATAAGCCACGAGGATGCGATTGCCAAGAAGGACAAGATGCTGGGCTGGAACGGTGTCGATGTCGTCAGTAAAATCCGGCCCACTGAGGAAGAGGTAAAGAAGCTCGGTCCCGAGTTCGAAAAGGCATGGGAGAAGGACTTCAAGAATGACCCCAACAGACCTGTCATGCTTACTGGTTTCCTTCACGGGTATGTACACCATGCAACACATCCTACTATCAAGAGCGCAAAGACACTGACATCTACAGGTTCCTGGGCGACCACGCCGCCATCCCGCAAGGCCAGTACACCACAGTCGCAAACTACACGGCGTACCCCTACTCCCGCGGTAGCATCCACATCACCGGCCCCGCCCTAACGGATCCCCTCGACTTCGAGACCGGATTCTTTAGCGATCCTGACGACCTGGACCTCAAGAAGCAGATCTGGGCCTACAAGCACTCGCGCGAGGTCGCCCGCCGCACAGCCCTCTACCGCGGCGAAGTCGCCGGCGGACACCCTTCCTTTGCTGCGGACTCCAAGGCCGCGCTTGTCGAGTCCGTCTCGGCGGACGCGTATAAGAACGTCAAGCCGATTGAGTATTCTAAGGAAGACGACAAGGCGATTGAACAGTTCTTGAGGGAGAACATCAACACGACGTGGCATTCTCTTGGAACGACCAAGATGGCGCCGCGGGATGATGGGGGTGTTGTTGATTCTTCGTTGAGCGTGTACGGTGTTGAGGGACTCAAGGTTGTTGACTTGAGTATTGTGCCTGAGAATGTTGGTGCTAATACGAACAACACGGCATTTGTGGTCGGCGAGAAGGCGGCGGATATCATTGCAAAGGATTTGGGCATTATCATCGCGCCAAAGTTGTAAGATGATGACGGATTGAGAGATGGACTGGCTGGCAGACCGCATATGAGCGAGATGTAATGAGTGCGAAGCAATTGACGACGAGCCCGTTCTGAGGACAAGTCCTTCTCAGCCCTATCATTATTCCTGGTGTTTATTGCAATGAGTAATGTAAGATTTCACTCTAGAATCCCGATTAGGGGAGTTGGCACACACAGCACGGCAAATCCATAGAAGGCTGGAGGAGAAGTACGTCTCGTTCTAGGTGATATAATTTGTGTATATCCAAATCTCCCCAGAACGTTTATTTCATTATTAAGATCGTGACTACACATGATGCAGTCTTACAGGAGTGTGGGTATCAAGCTCTTCAGCGAGCACAGTTCTAGATGAGATGGCAGGTCTTCAAGCAGACTCATGGTGAGACTCGTGGAGCCCCTTCTTCTCAGCGTGGATAGCGCTGTCCTCCAGGTCCTCAGTCAGGCCGACATCCCGTCTAGCCTGCTCGAGCAAAACGCTGTCCTCGGCACCCGCGTTGCTGCCAAAGACACGGTCCATCTCCTCAAGGGTGGCGCCCTTGGTCTCGGGCAAGGCGAAGTGCACCCAGATGATGCTGGCGCCGAGGAAGACGGCGAAGAAGATGTAGGTTCCCCACTTCCAGCTCTCGAGCATGGAGGGAACGTAGAAGGCGACGGCGAAGTTGTTGAGCTAACAGGTTGATGTTAGTCTGATGTCAATGTCTAAAAAGAAAGAGGCTTGGAGTGCATACCCAGTTGCTTGATGCGCCGATGGAAGCACCCTTGGCGCGGATGGAGAGGGGGAAGATCTCGGAAACAAGGGTCCATGAAACGGGGCCCCACGAAGCTCCGAAACCGGCAACTGAGATGTAAAGTTAGCATACCTAGTCCTTAAGAGATCTCGACTGGAGACAGAAAGGCTCAACGTACTGTAAATCCAGATGAAGGCGACGGCAACCCATCCCTCAACAGGATGGCCCGGCCAGTCGTGGCTGAACTTGGCGACAATAATGCCGGGGATGACCATGGAGATCAACATGACAATGGAGCCAACAATCAGAATGGGCTTTCTGCCGACCTTGTCGATGATGGCCATGGCGGGAAGGGTGCTGATGAAGAAGACGACACCGGTGACGCCAGTGGCCAAGAGAGCAGTCGTGCCGCCGGTGAGACCGAGGCTCTGGAAGACGTTGCTGGCGTAGTAGATGATGGCGTCGATACCGGACCACCTAGCAGACTCAGTTAGTTTGGTCGCGGGGGCCAAGGAGGTTGTGGTAGACTTACTGTTGCCAGAACATGACCAGCCAAGCATACGCAACACGCTTGAAATGGTCCCAGGAGCGGAGAATACGCCAGTACTGCGCAACCTCGCGCATCCAAACGCTCGTCTTCTCCTTTTCGGCCAACTGAGGGAACGCCTTCTGGAACGAGCGCTGCTCGAAGAGGGCCTCGGCCTTGATCTCCTTGAACTCAACCTGGACAAGCTCGCTATCCTCGGGGAGCTTGCGGAGGTACGCGATGGTCTTGACGGCCTCTTCGTCGCGGCCCTGCTTCACGAGCCAGCGAGGGGAGAAGGGCAGCCACCAGATTCCGAGGGCGAGAAGGGCGGCGGGGACACCCTGGATGTAGGAGGGGAGTCTCCATGCGAGGTCGGACTGGCCCTCGCCGATGCCGCCGATGTAGTTGCTGCCGTATCCGATCCAGAAGGAAAGCATAATTCCGAGAATGGTGGCGAATTGGTAGAAGGAGACGATGAAACCTCTCATTTCGGGGGCGGCGAGCTCGGCGTTGTACAGAGGGCTGAGAGTTGGTTAGCATCGTGGCCTCGGCGTAAGTTCTTAGACAGAGGGCAGACTTACCCGACACCACTAAAGGTTCCGACACCAAGACCGGTGAAGAAACGGCCGGCGTAGAGGAGCTCAGGCTTGTGGTAGCTTGCGCCAGTGTAGAGGTAACTGCCCAGGACGACCCAGAGACAGGCGGAGAACATGGTGTACTTGCGGGAGAAGACCTCGCCAAAGACACCGGCGCTGACGGAGCCCAGTATACCGCCGAGCTGGAGGATGGAAGTCAACCAGCCCGTCGCGCTGGACGAGTTGACGACGGAAGGGAAGTTGTCCTTGAAGCGCGTCATGACAAGAGATTGTCCGAGGACACCTAGGAAGACGATGAGGTCAGCAACGGAACAGTCGTCATCGGATTCGGGAGATTAGAGACATACCCTGCTGGTATCCATACTCAAAACCTCCAAAGGATGCAAAGAGGGCAATGACGAGAATCTTGGGGTTGTTTGCCAGCGACTTCCATCTGTTCTGGTAGGCAAGCTGCGTGCGCGCCTCGGCGGCGGTGGCTGCTTGGACGGCCATGATTGCAAAAGGCGATTGACGAGCAAAAGAGTCGACCTCGTAACGCAAGACAACCGAGTGACAATCACGGGAAGCAGGCGCCGGAAAATAATAAGACGATCACCTCACCCAACAGGCCGGGCCATCGTCTGTACTTATTCTTGGGAGCACCGACGCTAAGGACTGCCTTCCTGGGGGGTGGTTGACCAGGGAGACGTCCTTTGGCGATGGGGCAACTTTTGCCAGATGGGGACAGGATGTGTCAAGTTTTGATGCGACTCTGTGTAGACCGTCCCGCAGAGTCGAACGAGATGGGTCCCATGGGCTAGGTTCTTGGATCTTCCGTCGTGTCAATGTTATTGCTAGCTCCTTGAGTCCATCATTGACCTGTCTGAACCCAGGGAAGCCTCGTCTGGCATGTTCGATCTGTGTTGCTTCTTCGACTGCGTGTACATGTGAGATTCTCAGTTGCTGGAAATCCGGGGTATGTCAGATCAGCGTGGTGGGATCTGAGTACTGACCGACATGGTGCTTATGATTCCCGGATCCAGACGTCGGCTCCAAATACGCGTTCTACTACGGCTTGCTCTTTGCCCGATGATCACCTCCCCTCAGGTTTGGCAAACGTTGGCATCAGTTGGCATTCGCCCGAAGGTTTCCGAACCCGAAGCATCTCCAACGCTCCAACCCCTTCAAAAATCCTCTGGGTGCTCAAGAGCTGGCGGGACAAACAGCGGAGTCCTCCGTCTTGTTTCCACCTTGACCCCCTGGTTCATGGAGTTCATACCCCGCCCACCCGCACATAGAGAAGTCTGGCACATCACACGATTTGGTCCACCCCCGCAGCGGGTTCGCAGTCGTAAAAAAATACCAAAGTAAAAAAGAATTACGGGAAAAGCAAAGGCCAAGGCGTGTAACGTCGGGGGAAAGTCCCGGAGCTAACGCCAGAAGCGGAAGTTGGCCGAGTTGGTCTGGGACTCTGGGTGGATTCAAAGCAGAAATCTTTACCACTTCCCCACCGCCGGCGGTAAAGTGCCAGAGGGCAGAAGTGTTCGTGACTAAGGTGTTTTTCCCGTGGGGAATGTTTTGACTTCTCTGGGGATCCCGCTGGCCCAGACTCGAGTGAGGATTGTGAGGGGAAAATCCCCCATCTTGTCAGCAATAGCACCGAGAAGAGGCCGTTGAGTCGACAACAACAACTGGTCGACGTGCAGATATACCGGCCACAATGACAGAACTTTAATTGTCTTTCAGGTTTCGAATGGAACGCCCACATGGTCGCCACGTTAATTTGACGGTTCCCGGATGAGAAAACATCCCTCATACCGGATCTCATACCGGGATATTCGTCGAAGCCCCAAAGAAAAGTCAAATTGAGCCGCACCCTTGGCAGCGATGCCGGGACCGCGCTATTACTCAACTCGCCCACTCCTCGACGCTTCCAGACTTTGCTTTTATGGTTATTGAGCCCGGGCTCTTGTACGTCAGGAGTCATGCCATCCCCGGCGCCATGCTGCTGCTTGACTAAGAAGTCCCACAGCAACGTTACCTAGCAGGCTAGTTCGCGTGTGCTCGACCTCTTTGCCCGCGGGGTTGGTTTCTGACTGGTCCCTGTAATCAAAAGCAGAATTTTCTGCAGGCGATCCTTTGCAAGCAAATTCGCTTCTGCAATGCGCTCTTTCAGTTGGATTTTCGTGTCGGCAGGGCCCGGCCGAGATGTTCGAAATGCCGTTGCCTTTGACCGATGAAGTTTGCGTCATTGAAACGCGAAAAATAAAAGCTCGGTGTTCTCTCCGCCGATGCCTGGGTAGTCGGCTTTTGTTGCCGACGCTAATTACGTGAGCTACATAGTTGTGATACTGGACAAACGTCTGTTCATGATCCCCTGATGGCATCAAATTTTCTCATTGCAAAAGACTCGTCACCGCTTCACATTGGCATCGATGCATCGTGGTTCGCGCATGAGATCCCGGTATTGCTGGTGGAGAGCACGACAGGACCCGTTTTCCACCTGCGGGCGAATTCGGAAGAGCAATAATGAACGCCCCACGATGTCGGTTTACGAGTCTTTTGGGAGATGTTCGAGACAAAATAGCGGAGTTGACGACCTGTTCCTGACTCGATGCATCGTGTTCTCGGCAATCTCTTACGGAAAGCGTAGATGCTACCGATGGTGCCAGCAAGCGTTGCAATTTGCTAGGTGTAATCCCTCGGCCCTCTGAACTCATGCCAACTTTTGAGGCTTGAGACTGCTTCACTTCAGATGTTCACATGCCTGCTCTCTGCCATCGCTATATCGCTGCTACGGAACCCCAGAAATGGAAGGTCTTGCGCGTTATGTATTGTTCACCCTCCACGGCGTAGGGGAAAGTTCTATCGGAGGGTAGAGTGGTTTGGACGAAGGGGTGTAGATTCGATTAAAGTTCTCCTGCGCCGTATGCCACGATGTTGCGATTTTGGCACGTCGACCTTAGCAAAGAACACATGCGAAAATGATCGAACATTGTGAGTTTTGAACGACATAGGGGTGGGAAGATATCTCGACGTGATCTACAGCTCGTACATTCTCAACTACGTCATCTCTAAAACTGGAGATGGCCAAACATCGTTCAGAAACCACAGAGACGAATTGGAGACATGCAGTAGGAAGTTACGCTTTTCT